GGTGTCCCCGAAGAACAGCGGCGTGCCGGGTGCCGCTGCGCTCCCGCCCTCGGTGCGGCGGCGTGGGCAGCCTGGCCTTCCCTGCTGTGGGACGGGACGGGACGGGACGGGGAGCCTCGCCGGGAGCAGCTGCGTCCCGCCTCTGTCCGAGCCCCGCGGAGCCGTCTGCGCGGGACAGAGGCGGCACTCCGCTGAGCTAAGGGGCAATTGCTTCCACTTTAAATTGGGTCTGGTTTTTTTTTTGATCTTAATTTCATTCATCGGTTAATTGTTCAGAGCTGTTTCAGGTGAATGGAATAAGAGCCAGCAATGAGCGGCCCGAGGTGAATGGCGTGAGGGTGCCTGTTACAGCCCGCTTCCATCCCCTCCGGGTGCTGGCGTCTCTGAGAACGCTCTCGCAGGAGACGCTGCTTCCTTGTGGTTCCTTGGCTTTTTGCACAAACTCCGCTCTTGCCCTCACAAGGGAAGTGCTAAATGCCTTTTTTTTTTTTTTGCTTTTTTTCCCTTTTAATTTCCATCAACCAAAGCCATCAATGGAATTGAGATTAAAAATGAAGTCCCTAAATTTTCGTGAAAATTTTTGTCATCTTTACAGGAGTTTTTTTTTTAATTGCAGAATAAAGAAAGAAATAAAATCAGTAGTCAGTTTCACTGCACAGTGCCAAAAAGTGAAATGGAGACTAAATCTAACCTTTGGACTAAATATTGCAGGAAAGATAAATGCTAAACCAGAAATTACTTTGTTGATCTTCTTTATCTTTCAGTGTCAGATTTTGTTTATTCCCATGTTCTTTCCTAGAAAGAAACACAGAATTTGCTTTCTATACATGTATATATGCAAAATAAGCATTAAAATATTACAGGTTAGGAGCAGCACAGGTAGAAAGTACAAATGTATTAAAGGTCATAATTCTGAGACTCTAAAGATTGTTTTGATTATTTGATTCAGGTGCTGATTTTTTTTCCTACCAAAATTACTAGCTTGGATGCCACTGTTATTGCAGAGGGTTTTCTCAATTGTTTTGCGTGGATATTAATTCACTGTTAACTGGAAAGTGTCACCAACTCTTTTTTTTTTTTTTTTACTACTCAGTAGCAGTTAAGTAGCTCTTCACAGTTTTAATCAGTGTTTAGGTGAGCTGGAGTGGTCTTTTTAATTTAGCCTGCTGAGTCAATCTCATAAATCGTTCAGTTGGCCTTTCCAAAGTATCTGACTCTAGGGCATGTTAGATTGCTGGAAACTTTAAACTTACTTGCCTTAACAAAACAGATTCTCAGAGCTCTGCATTTCCTTCTAACAGCTAATGATTCAAATAATGTTTCCATTTTGATACTCTTGCCACAAACATTGCTATCATTGAAGTTTTTGTATAATTGCCTCATTTTGTTTTATCTGATAGCTGAATTGCTTTTTTGTGTAGCTTTGCAGTTTTGGATTACTAAGTGGTCTAAATATGGTGTTTTGATGTCTGTAGCATAGATTTGTTAGTAATTACGTTTTAAAAGATGGCAATATCTGCATTTAATTTACTATTTAATTTGCTGTAGTATAATAAATATAACTGTGCTATTTTAAAAGCACAGAACATTCTTAGTAATCTTCAGTAATACAGTAGGCTATAGATTCAAATCTGACTTTCAAGATAAGCATACATTAGGCCTTTATTTTTTTTTGTAACAGCATGGGTGATTTTCAGGAGAATATCCAGAGTGTAAGGAGCATATGTAGCTAACTTCACTACAGTTTTGCTTCTGTTTTCTTTGGAGTCTGATTAAAGTAACACACTTTGTACTTTTCTTATTTTTTATTTATGAAAGGTTGATGGAGATGGTGTGATAGTTGAAAGAAAAATGTTTCTTTAGTGTCTCTCAGGTGCAAAGAGAAAGCTTTTTCTTGTGATGTACTTCAAGTAATCCTAATAACTTCTTGTGTGATACTGTTGGCTTTTAATTTTGATTTTCAGTGAGAGGAACTGCATTGTATTTTTCTATTGGAAAAGAGCTTTACTTTGTTATTTCTATTTAGAAACAACTGGACAGCCACTATGTTTATAAAAATGTGGAGAAAGTTTTTGTTTTGACAGGTATGTTTTTGGTTGCTAAATGGAATGTGAGGACTAACCATTTTTGTGCTTCAGGCTGAAAGTATCTTCAGTGAAGAGGAGGAAGAAAAACTTCAGATAGCTTTTTCACTGGAGAAGCAGGATCTTCATCTAGTTCTTGAAACTATATCATTCATTTTGGAACAGGTACCTTGTTTTTATCATTATGAATAGATTAATATTTTGTTTTTATTTGATTGTAGATTTCAAAAATATAAAAGTCAAGTTGAAAAGGAATTAGTGAAAATATGTATCTGTAGTATATTATGTATGTTTTGGGGGCATGATTTTGCTGCTTTTATTTGCATGCCTTCCTGATTCAGATTGGACTCATTGCATTTGTGGAGTAAGTTTCCAGCTGATGTAAATATAGGTGGTGGAATCGAGCTCTGCATGACTCAGAGAGAAGTGCTGATAAGTGTGAGTTAGTCTTTCCTCTTATTCATTGTAAGCAAGCCAGACATGTATTTTTTTAATTCCTGTAAGGAAACTATTAGATGGCATTATTGAGCACTGCTTAAGTTACATGATGTGTCAGTTTTGGAAAATTTTCATGCACAGAAGCAGTCTGTACTTAGGTGAACAGATGCAGCTGATGTAGCTCTAGTATCTGAATGAGTAGGTGACTGCATGGTGTAGAGCTAAGTGTCTTGTAAACAGGGAATGTTTTCCAGTTCTACAGTCTACCACTACTCAGGTTGCAAAGCCAATGTATTACCTGGTAAATATGGTAACTTTCTTAGAAATTGTCACAGCTGTGATGTTATCCATCCATTTCATGCAAGTATAGTAAGTGTAGTTGATGCAGAGGGCCTGCATACTGATGGTCTGTTGTAGGATTTGGATCTTGTCCTTTCTTAGACGTCAGTTTACGATTAGTTCACTTAGTTAACACATTCCACAGCATTAGAAAGGAAACAAACAAACAGTCCTCCCTATGGCTCCTACGTACAGAAAAGTCAAAACAAAACCTGAGGTCACATCCAAACTGGAATTTTGAATTTTCATCTCAACCGAATAGCAAACTTACCTGTTTTATTGTCTGATCCTAATTTCATCAGACTGCTTCATTTATACGATGATTATTGAAGATAAACAGAAGAAGCAGTTCAGCTTCCTCTAGAAGTTACTTCTTTGGCATTTAAAAAAAAAAAAAAAGAAAGGGAAGGATATTAATATCTGCCCAAAGAAGAGTGCCAGATGGAATATGTGTTGTATGAGGACTCTTTTGTATTCCCACTGACAGCTATGCTTCACAGAGTAGCTGCTTGTTCTGTCAGAGCGTAACTTTTTTAACAGCCCTGTGGTCTATGGACATTATAGATAATAAAAATGCTGCATGGTCTTTGCTGCATGTGTTGTTTCTTTTTTTCTTTTTTTTTCCCCGCCTGGTGCTGATGGAATCCTGTTTTGAAAGTGGAGATGAGGATACTAATATAGAGTATTTACCACAAAAATTGATGTTAATAGGGAGGTTATCTCTAACTCACCTTTTTTGGCAAACTGTTCCTGTCTTTTCAGAATATTACCTTGTAGTTCAGGCTTACTTGAGGAGTGTGAATTTGGAAAAGTTGTCCTTTCTTCACGGTCACAATTGACTTCAAAGCCCAAGTTTTTTTCAGTGATAGCTGCTTTGGCATTATGTACAGTGGAAACATACATATACTTAGATCTAGCTTGCATATACATTTTTTCACAGTTTGTCTTCAGACAAGTCACTTGTAATGTTGCATTTTGAGATACAATTGAAATAGTTATACTTTTCTGTCTTCTCAGTCAGAGGGTTAAGATGAACAGGATGCTTGCAGTCCCACAGTAGAGTTGCTAGTAAAAATCTTGTGTGAACACTGTGGCCATCTGTGGTAGAATGTATCTGGCACAAGTTGTAGAGCAGTGCTTGACAACAGCAGTTATTTTTCCTTTTAACAGGCAGTCTATCATAATTTGAAACCTGCTTCATTGCAACAACAGCTGCAAAACATTCACCTGGATCAAGACAAAGCTGAAACATTTGCCAGTGCATGGGCGGCTGCAGGTCAAGATATGATTGAAAAGTTCAGGCAGAGGGTTTTGACCCCTCAGAAGGTAATGTTTTTTTCTAAGAGAGAATAAAGCTGTGTAGGTTTGTTTTAAAGCAAGGAGTTTAGACTAAGATACAAAGCTTGTGACAAGCCAAGGTACTGGAAAATAAAAAGGGTACTTATTAGGTAGTAGATAAATGTGACTGGGGCAGTGGAGTTCCATTGTCTTAAAGAGATGTTACATGTTAGCTGAGCTGCTGTAACTGTTGGAACCTGACTATATGTGCATTGTTAGCAATGTAAAGTAATGCAACCTACATACAATTTGGAGATGTTTGTGAACATGCTTTACAATGGGGCAAGGGTAAAATGTGCTCATGAACACTTGTGGTTTAGCTCATCAGCCTGTTGATTCTCTGTACTTAAAGTGTATCTGAGCTCCTGCCATCTTTAGTTTTGCAAGCTGGTTGGATGGTGCATTTTGTGAGATACTTACTATGATTTTGAGATATTATTATGCCATGGTAAAAAAGCCTTGCTTCACCTGTGCCTGTTACCAGTTAAAACTTTGGTACGTGCTGTGGAAGTCTCAGTGTGTCTTTAGGCAAAATGTCTACATCTATGAGCAGGTATAACAACATCCTTCTGTTGATTCATAATAAGCCTTCAGCTGCAGTAGGAGATGTATACAGAACACATCAGTGACAGCCAGAATTAAATGGTTCAAAAGAATTGTGGAACAGACTCAATTATTCTCGCTTTATTTTTATCATTGCTATATATCTTGTTGGGATAAGATTCAGTTTGTTACTTTATGATTTGGTTAGTAAAATATACATAGAAAATAATTTTATATATAAGGTACACATGATACACTGACAGAAGTAGAACAATATAATTTATACCAGCAGGTTTACACCTAAATAAACCTAGCATTTTATTTAGGTGTAAAATGCACATTTTGAGAAGACAAAATATGTCTGTGAAGCAGAGTAAAGATGTTCAGAATTGCATCACAGGTGACTTTTCCAAAGTATTTAAACTTGATCCTTTGTAAAACTGGGTAATTTTAGACACAAAACTTATAGGATTTTAATCTGCAAAATTATAGTAACTCATGAACCTAACCAAGTAAATGACTGATAATGTAAGTATGCAAAAAAAAATTTGAGCTGAACAAGACATTTTGGGCTTCTGTCTTTTTGCAATAATATTTACAGTGCCAAGCGTACAAGTCCCAAAGTTTAAATGGTCAGCGATACTGTGAGTATATAGGCAAGTATGACTCTCCGTTGAAGGAGGTGAGTAATTTGAAAACCAAATGAAATCACAGAAGGTGATAAGGCAAACTTTTCAGAATACAGTATATGTGTGCAGAATGGAAGGCAATTCTGAAGATACCCTACCAGGCACCTGTCTGAGAATTTACTTCACATGGACTATGCAGCAATACATATTTTACTGCTGGGTCTTCAGCATATGAGAAACTAATAAAACCACCTTTGATCCTCTTTTATTTGGAGCTAGCACCATACACACCTGTGGTCCTTCTGTTTGGCAATGACATTGCTCTGTTTCTTGCCTGCAGTTTTGTGAGCCCTGCAACATACAATGCTTCTGGTGTATGTTACAGTTTTGGAGATTTTGTGACTTCACTGCGGTCTTATATAATGGAATGGCATTTTGCTAGTGTATTACATCCCATATAAAGCAGTTTTAAACTGTCATTTGTAATAAAGCTCGTAGAAAATCAGCGGCCAAAATATCACAGTGCAACTTGATTTTTAGCATGAAAGCAGGTTTAAAATAGGTGTGTGCCTTTACATGTGCTTAAAGCATCATTTCACTCTCTTTTCTTTCCTTTTCCTAGCCTAGATGATGAGTTGAGTATCAGTTTGAGTATGAGTGTAACCTGAGTTTGAACTTGAATTTACTTTCTCATTTTGTTTTGAAAACATCTTAATCCTGTAGATTTTAGTTGAGTGAAAAACTTGAAGTTCAAGAGAACTTTTCCTTAACCCAAAGCCTCAATTCACAAAACTAATTGCTAAATGAAGTATTTATTCTGCTGACAAGGCACACAGAGATAAAATATTTTAGAAATTGCATGAGATAATGGAAGAAGAACTTGCCATCTCCTTATCTTATGAATCTCCTTGTAATGTCTTATGAATGCAGTAGATGACTGCATGATCCCTTCACTGTTTCCTTCTATATTCTATAAATATTTGTGTATCAGCACGTATTTACTGTATTATCTTTCTATACCTTGAGAAATGGTGGGCAAAATATTCTCTTACTTGTGATACATTGTTATAGTAGCCAACTTGATGTAAACTTTCAACATGTCTAATTAAAGTTAAAAAAAGTTAGAATCCTGAAAAATACTTAGACCAGAGTGCTAGCTTTTTAGATTAGATTTACAATTTAGGTTCTTAGATTGATGTAGAAATTATATTAACTCACTTCTTTGTAAAAAGAGATGTGTATCCGATTAGCAGTACTCTCTGCAACACGTATATATGTGTATAACTTTTAAAACAATTGACCCTAAAAATTTGCCCTCTCTGTAGGTACTTCTTTAAATGCCTGTGTGTAAGTTAATGACTGGCGCTGTTCACTTCTCTCACAGAAGCAATATTAAGTACATAGAAAGAGTACGACTGTTCTGTTGTCATGATTGTCAGCAACATAATCACAGAATGGTTGAGGTTGGAAGGGACCTCTGGAGGTCATCTGGTCCAGCCTCTCTGCTCAGGCAGGGCCACCTAGAGTCAGTTGCCCAGGACTGTGTCCAGACAGTGTTTGAATGTCTCAAGGATGGAGACTCCACCGTCTTCCTGGGCAACCTGGTGCCAGTGCTTGGTCACCCTCAAAGTGAAAAAGTGTTTTTTTGTGTTCAGGCAGAGCCTTCTGTGTTTCAGTTTGTGCCCATTGCCTCTCGTCCTGTCACTGGGCACCACTGGAAAGAGCCTGGCTCCATCCTCTTTGCACCCTCCCTTCAGGTATGTGTATACATTGATGAGATCCCCCTGAGCCCACTCTTCTCCAGGCTGAACGGTCCTGGCTCTCTCAGCCTTTCCTTGTATGTGAGGTTCTCCAGTCCCTTCATCATCTTAGTGGCCCTTGCTGGACTCTCTTCAGTATGTCCATGTCTCTCTTGTACTGGAGAGCCCAGAACTGGTAATAGTACTCCAGATGTGGCCACATTATTGCTGAGTAGAAGGGAAGGATCACCTCCCTCAGCCTGCTGGCAATACTCTTCCTAATGGAGTCCTAGATAGCATTAGCCCTCTTTGCTGTAAGGGCATTTTGTTGGCTTATGCTCAACTTGGTGTCCAGCAGGACCCCCAGGTCCTTTTTCACAAAGCTTCTTTCTAGCTGGGTGGCCCCCAGCATGTACTTGTTCTCGGGGTTGTTCCTCCCCAGCTGCAGGACTTTGCACTTACCCTTCTTGAACTTCACGAGGTTTCTGTCAGCCCATGTCTCCAGCCTCTCCAGGTCCCTCAGGATGGAAGCACAACTCTGGTCTGTCAGTCACTTCTCCCAATTTTGTGTCACCTGCAAACTTGCTGAGGGTACAGTCTGCCCCATCATCCAGATCGTTAATGAAGATGTTGAACAGGACCGGACCCAATATTTGCCCCTGGTGTACAGTGCTAGTTACTGGCTTCCAACTAGACTTTGTGCCACTGATCCATGCCTGGCCATTCAGCCAGTTTTCAGTCTGCCTCTCTTTCTGCATCATCAGCATACATGAACAGCTTGTCTATGAGGATCTTACGGGACGCAGCGTCAAAGGCCTTCCTGAAGTCAAGGTAGACCCTATCCACTGCTCTCACCTTGTCTACCAAGCCAGTCATTTCGTTGAAGAAGTTTATCAAATTGGTCAAGCATGACTTCCCCATTGTGAATCCATGCTGACTGCTTCAAGTCACCTTCTTGTTCTTCACGTGCCTGGAAGTGGTTTCCAGGATTAGTTGTTCCATCACCTTCCCAGGGACTGAGGTGAGGCTGACCAGCCTTTAGTTCCCTGGGTCCTCCTCCTTGAAGATAGGAGTGACATTTGTTTTCCTTAGCAATCCTGAGGATTGATGTTTGTTGGAGCTGATTTTGGATTTTTTTTTTTTTTTAATTGGATGGTTGGGGTTTTTTTAAGACTCTTGATTTATTCATGCTTTGTGTATGGTTGAAGTTGCATTCATAATGATCAGTTTTTTTTGTCGAGTGTACCTTGTAGTTTTATTAGTGATTCAGATTCCAGAAATATGGGAGTTGCTGTACTAGATCAGAAAATCTGTTCATTGTGTATCCTGTCTTTGGCACCTTGGATGGAAGTGTAGGGGTGAGATCCTTTAGTTAATCTGTTTGATGAAAACTTCTGCCTCAGCTCGTGACTTAGAAGCTGTCTTATACCCTCAAAGATGATTGATTGTCACTTGTGAAATATCCTACTTTAATGAACCTGGAGGTTTCAGTCTGTGTACTTGCCTGATTTCTGATTTTCTACCACTTGAGGGAAAGGTGATATGTATTGATGTTTTTTAAAAACAGTATATCCGTTATCTTTTGATTTTAATGTGTATCCCCTTTTTTATTATGAGAAATACTAAAGAAGACTGTGGTCTTGTTTTTATTTTGAGCTGCATAGTATGTGATTTCTCACTCCCATTCCATGGAAGTTTCCTGTTTGTCATCCTTCAAGTTGTCTGTCTCTGACATATTTCTGCTATATTTTGCAAGAAACTAATGTGAATAGAGTATAATATGGGCTTGCCTGAAATATTAATACTTTATGTGGTGGCTTTATAATAAAGGTCTCCCTCAGGGGTCTGGACTGGGACCAACACTATTTAATGTCTTCATCAATGCCACAGTGGTAGTGAGCGCACCTTCAGCAAGTCTGTGGATGACACCAAGCTCCATGGTGCAGTTGATTTGCTAGAGGGAAGGGATGCCACTCAGAGGGACCTTGACAACCTTGGGGAGTGGGTGCATGTGAACCTTGTGAAGTTCAACATGGCCAAGTACAAGGTCCTGCTCCTAGCTTGGGGTAATCCCCAG